CTGGAAATCATAGTGGATGCAAGAAGCTGGGGAGCTCTTGACAGCAACTGGCAAATTCTCAATTCCAAAAGTGAAATGTCTATGGTGCAAAAGAACTGTGACTGACATCAGGGCCCAGGTGCACAGCAGAGGGCCGAGACAGGTGCAGGAGCAAGACCCAAGGGGAGAAGGGTTGTGGGGAGGAGGAAGAGGGGCCAGGGTCAGGAGTAACCCTGGCCTCTGCTCCTGGCCACTGTTGGTTGCCCCACCAGGTAGCACCAGGTTTCACTGTAGTTTACAGGCACTCAACAGAGAAGCAATGTGTGCAGATGTGCTTCAGATAGACAAGATACCTCAAGTTAAGCCCAGAAAATTTTAGCCTCCTGGAGTCAAAATTTACACTATTTTTTTCCTTGAGTATAACCCAGGCACTCTAATATTTCTGAATGTGATCTAAAGTAGAAGAGTTTTTCCCCACCTGTGTACTATGTCACACTGCCAGCCTTAAATATAACTGGGCAAGTAACAGGACAACTCTTCCAAGTGCCAAAAGCATGCTTTTTAAAAGCCTTTATTGTGGAGCAATCTTAATGAATAAAGCAGAGCAGGACAAGTTACACAAATAACTTCCCTATGTAATCATCCTTGGCATTTTATAAAATTCTAGCAGCAAGATTAAGAAAGCATCTTGACTTAAATGTTCTACATTATGTGTATACACTGTATAATTTACACTGTGCACATGTAATGTACATGCATATTATACACATTATGTTGTAAAAAGGCATGTAAAGATCAACTTAAAGCTGAGTTAATAAAATTATCACATAACTTTGCACATTAAATCAAATTAAACATCAAGTCATATCTGATCTTCAGTATACTGTGAAAAAATATGAGAAGATTAAAGTGGTTAAATAAGAAATAACTGTCAACTACACTGACACGTAAGTATTTCATAACAAAGTAGTGGGGAGTTTAAAGAATAAATTCTTCTCACCTATGTCTTAGGTCATGATTTCCTGATCTGGAAATTATTTGATCCAGACACTATGGACTCCAAAATTTTAGCTGAAATATTACTCTCTTTCCTTCCTGACATAAAATAGTTAACAACAAATTAAAATTCTATAAACGTTTTTGTGTTTGGCTGCTTTAGTTGGAATTTACATGTGTCAGGGTCACTGACACACTGCCCTGTCCACTCAGTGGGGAGCTCTCACTGTCACATGACACCCCTAGAAGACTAGACAAGAAGTCTTTCCCCTTCCCAATACACCCCTCACTCTGCCTTCAGGACACTCAGTCTCCATATTTTCCCCCACTCGCTGGTCTTGTTTCCTCTGCCAGGTCCTCCCTAACCTGTGAGTCTTGGCAGCTCGAGAGCTCAGCACACCTTTCCTCACCCACATGCACTCTGGATTCGTGAGCACTCAGAGGCCATGCTAGAGCATCACCATGGAGTAAGGGCACTCAGGTTTTGATTCACCTTCAGTTTCTGCAACTCTCCTGATCACAGACCTACACATCCCACAGTCTACACACAGCTCTTAGGCACACTTTACTTGGATGTTTTCACAGATATCTCACACTTGATGTGTCCCAGAGTTCTTGGTACCAACCCACTTCTCCCCAATCCTTCCATTTCAATAAATAGCACTGCTTATATGCCCAGAACTGCCAGCTGGCTCTCCCCTTTGATTCTTCTCCTTTCTAACAAATGGTAACCAATCCATTGTGTCATCACCCAAAAATTACCCCAAAAAGTCCCATCTGTTCTCACCACAGCAACGGGTCTTAGCTACCATCCTTCATCCACATGCTACACATTCCTCACTGCCCTCTAGACTCCATTCCTGACCTCCAGTTTCAAAATGAGGTACTTTTAAAACACAAATCAAGCTGCCTGCCAGTAGCTCATGCCTGTAATCCTAGATACTCAGAAGGCAGAGATCAGGGGGATCATGGTTCAGGCAAATCATTTGCAAGATCCTCTCAAAAAAATACCCAACACAAAAAAGTGCTGGTGGAGTGGCTCAAGTGGTAGATTGTCTGCCTAGCAAGCATGAGGCCTCAGGTTTAAACCCCAGTACTCTATCCTATACCTCGTGCAAAACACACAGCCAGTAGGCCCAGCTGGCTGGTGCAGCCCTCTTCAATTACTGCCCATCTCTCTACCATAGCCTCACAGTTGAGCTTCCTGCTATGCACACAGGCAAGCCTGCCCCCAGCTCGGGGTGTCTGCTCGGGATCCGTGGACACCTGCAGGTCCTCTTCCTTCCCGGTGAGCTCTGAGCTCACTGGTTCAGTGAGCCCACACCCCTCATCCCTGCTTCTCTTGGCTCCATTTTTCTTCAAAAGAATCACCAGTAACAAACATGGAGGTATACACCTGTGTTCTCTTTGTGATTTCAAATGTCTGCACAATAAAGAAAGGAAGGCTCCAATGGACAACTGCAGTCCATGGCTACCCTAGGGTAGGACATCTTCAGTTAGCTGGGGGCACCTCTGCAGCTCTGCCCAGCTGGGCCTACAGTCCTCCTACCCCATCCACTCTGGCCAGGGGACAGTGCTCCAGGGCTCAGGTCCCATGTCAGGCAAGGCAACACCTATGTGACCATCCCACAGAGCTCCATGTTCAGTGATCACACGGAAGCAAAGGGTCAGGCAGTGACCAGTTTCAATTCGCAGACACTCACTCACAGCTCACCACTGCTCACTTAGTCTTACCAAGCTGCTTCACGGTATGTTCCTTCTTAGCTTTATGGTAGGAAGAGTTACGTTCTTTTTCAGGGGAAAGACTATTTTCTCTGGTTCTAGAGCCCCTTCTTCCTGACATGAAATTGCACAATGGAAATAGGTATTAAACTTATTTGGTAATGCTGCACAGTCATTAAACACATGAGTTAGAATGTTCTCATTAACTCACAGTCACCAGTTCTGCTACAATGCACTACCTGCAAGCAATAAAACTTGCCATATTCTTATGCAGAGTGTTTTCTGAGTCCTATGGAGATTCTTGAATGCACTACACCTGCATATGTCTAACATGTATCTCTAACATGCATCCTCACACTCGTGGATGTTCACCCCTTGAACCGAGCACAGAACTTCTGTGTCTTGAGCACTTCTGACTCTGGCCATTTCCCCAAAAGCTGACCTACTCAAGCACAGCAGACTGTTGGGGCAGATGCCAGGTTGGCCAGTCTAAGGGACTTGGGGAAGGAAGACAAGAATCCACCGAGCTACTGCCTGAAGCTCAAGAAAACGCATTGTCATAGAGCCGGCAAGTCTCTGAGAGTGAGGTCTCACAAAGGTAGTGCAAACAGTCCAGCAGCACCAGCTCAGCAGTAAACACACAAGAGGTGTTTGGGGTTGTCTGCTGAGAAACCCCAAAGAAGCAGTGGGAGACCTCCTGGACTCAGCTGCTGCTCAGGCTCAGCAGCAGTGGAACAGTGGGAGACCTCCTGGACTAAAGCTCAGCAGCAGTGGGAGACCTCCTGCACAAAGGCTCAGCAGCAAAGCTAGATTTAAGACACTGTTAAGAAAATCAACAGCATCTGCCTGCCAACAGCAAAAAGGAGCCATTTCCAAACGCATGGACACAGAACAAACCATCAACCATCACCTTGACTAACAGATACACCCTGCCCGTGCAAATGGTCTCAGAAGATGGGGAACATCTTTCCTTGGTCCCTAACCGAGGAAAGCATAGGTGTAACACAAATCAGTTAAATCCTGAGAAGTAAGCCTGTTTATTTTGTGGGTGGGTAGGATAGTTTGAATGATGAAATGAATTTAAAATTTAACTAGAAGAATAAGTAAATAAAATATCTTAAAACTTTTTTGCAAAGAACAATGATATAAAACTAGTAATAAAACAAAACAGCAAGTAAAAAAAAAATTAAACAGGCAAATCAGAAAACACACCAAGCATCAACAGTAAAAGCAAACTGAAAAGGAATAAGAAACAAACAATTAAAAACTGGCAATTAAACAATTTCCAGTTAACAATTAAACAATTAAAAACTCACTAACTGTACAGGGAGTGCCTTACAAATAACAAGAACAGCACTGGACTCCAAAAAGAGGTGATAAGGAATCAGGTCAGTGAAAAACAGGCAAATCAGAGATGCCAAGAAAAGCTACTGACACACAGAAAAATACAATTTCACTAGAATAAGTTTCCCATTTCTCATCTGTGGAACTCAGAAAGCTTCAAACACTCAAGAAGGGGGTGGAGGCCACCAGGAGTAGAGCACCTGTGCCGGTGACTGGACTTCCTGGGCTTCTCCCACAGACAGCACAGAAGGAAAGGCTCTGGCACAAGATGTCACCATAGCATCACTACTGGTGAGAAGAGTGTAACTTACCACAAAAGTTTCATTGCTAGGTGAGAAATTCCAAACCCTTCATTCTTGCCAAATTTCTTTAACTTACACAATTGAGAATGGTCAATTCTTCAGGAACTACTACTGCTCATTCAAAGCCACTTTACGCTTTAATTAAAGGTGAGCCTCCCACAGTGGCAGTTCCACCTGTACATCCCTGCTTTGCCTGAGTCTTGATCCCATTTGCTGGTCTGCTATAACAAGGCTCTACCCTCAGACATCCCCAAACTAGGCCTGTGGGCTTCACTTTGAGCATGATGACCAGTGATAATCTCTGCTGATTTTAAAGGCATAAACATCCTCTGCTCTTTATGTCCAGGCTGCAACAGGATGAAATCCTGTCTCCCAGTGCAAAAGACAAGAGCCAAAGAAACTGAGAGGACTAAAAAGTATTTCTGGAAAATGAAAATTCAAATACACCTTTCAGATTTCCCCAGAGATCTCTAGCAAATGAGGCTGCTCTGCCCCTGGGGGGGGGGCGGTGTTTGTGTTTGTGTGTGTAAGCCACAAATCATTATTTCCACAGTCTCTTCATTTCTAGACATGGCAGTCTTGTGTTCCTGCCCTAAGAGTTCTCTGCTACCAGATATCATAATAAGGCAAAGAAACATATATTCAACTTTGCAGTACCTTCCAATGAGTTTTTGGATCGCCGCTTTGATGTTTTTGATGTCAACTTGGATGTGCTCATGGAAATCTCAGCCTTAAAGGAAAGAGAATAAAAAAAGTTAATGCATTGCATAGCAATACCATAGCAGATTTATTTTTTGATCTCTGCATTAGAAAGAGTAAGTATGAAAACAACAATATCCTTAGGCTTTAAACATCACTCAACCAAGCCCTCAAGCCCTGAGAGTGAACACTGGAAGAAATCAAACCTCTTTTGCCCTAAATTTAGATCTTTTTATACAGTAAATCAGCAATCCACTGACCCCATTTGGAGAAATGCTCCCTCTCAGGTGTGCTTATGAGGACTCAACCTTACTTGCTATACACAGCCATGTGCTATGGCTTAATGACAAGATACTTTCTTTGTTGTGCCAATACCCTCAAACGCATTTACACAAACTAACGTGGATAACGCATCATTGGGCAACATAACTTTAGAGGCCCACCATCAGGTATGTGGTCCGTGGCTGAGACAGTGCTGTATGGTGCACAACTGTACTCCATTACTGAAATGTGTTTGTGTACAACTCTGAAAGTAAAACGTACATCATGTGTTTCAACAAATACGGCCCTCCCTTCATTGGCACAGATCCATCTCACTGCCTCTCCCCTTAAGCAGCGACAGTGGTCTCCCAAGTGCTCCCAGTCCCTACTCCACTCACTTCATCTTCCCTGCCATGAATACTTCAAAATGATGATGGAAGTTGGCTTTGATTCTTGTAGCAGTCTCCTACTACTTAAGATGAGTGTAACCTCCACAGGATAGCCCACCCAGGGGTGATTGGCTAGGACTGTACTTCACCACAGGAGGCACAGGGCAGGATCCCAAATTCATCAAGCAGACTTTACAGGGGTCTCTCCAGCTGGCCCTGCCTTTCCTGTCGGCCTGGTTATTTGATCCCCTCCCAGACTTGTCCTGAGTGCCACCTCCACTCTGCTCCCCAATGGCCCCCCAGCCCTTTGTACATAACACCCCATACTTATCAAGCAAAGGTGCAGGTAAACCCAGAAGTGCTCACAGAAAACCACCCATTGCTTCACCAGGTAGTAAACCATGTAAATCATTACTTTCACAATAAAATAAAGATGGGACTGCGCTGAATAAATCCAAACCCTATTCTTCTCTGACACCCAGTGGACCAGGAGACAACAAAGCTTCTCCTGCAAATCAACTACTGAGGTTGGAGGCTAGCACAGGAAAAAAGTTAATGAGACACCATCTTAACCAATGAAAGCTGCTCATGATAACATATTCCTGTCATCCCAGCTATGTGAGAAGCATAAATAGGATGATTGTAGTCTAAGATGGGCTGGGCATAAATGTGAAACCCTATTCCAAAAATACCTAAAGCAAAAAGGACTAGGGGTGTGGCTCAGGTGGTAGAGCATCTACCCAGCATGCATAAGAACTTGAAACCCAAGTACTGGAGGAAAAAAAAAGTCTTTAAAGCTTACCTCTGTTTCTGCTTTGTAATCTTTAAAAGAGCCATCTGACAACTTTTTAGACATCTCTCCAGAGTTTGATGACTATAAAAAAAAATAAATCTTTCTTCAAACTTTAGAATTATTCAAATCTGCAACATGTGAAAACACACCAAGATAATGGTGCGTATAACACTGACCAACAAGCAAGGTAAACCCTCCACAGGAGCACCGCATCACCACTCCAGATCTGATTGGTCGTCATTATTCTGCTTGTACTTCCTCTGTCTTTCAAGCAAACAGCAAAACCCTTCCCCACAGGGTGGGGCAGGAGCAAGAACACCAAACATCCCTGCTCTCAGGAAACCAATTTCTACACCAGGACAAACTTTTAGGAAACATACCCCAGTGAAACAGGAATGAGAGGTGGGGTGAATAGAAACCTCCAGCACCTACAGAAAAACTGCTCATAGCTTCTGAGACGTGAGCATCTCCTGATAACGCGTAAGCAAAGGCTGTAGATGCAAAGTCATGAGCTACATGGATTCTGTAAACACCGTTCTACTCCTTGAATCAACTCTCCAAAAGACACGTCTGGCTATACAGGAGACAGACTGTCATCATTCAGATGTCAAAGGATGTCTGTTCAATAGTTCAACAATGAAGCATGCTGTTAATGGTGAAGATGTCAGACAGTACCAGTGGTAACTGCCCCTGAGTGAAGGTGTTGGACAGTGTCAGTGGTAACTACCCGAGTGCAACCTCCCTTCTGCACTGCCATGAGCTGCTGCTCTAAGAGGCAGTCAGCAGGTGACCAAGACCCACAGAACTTCACCCAGCACCTAGGCTCCAGTCGCCACGTTGGAGCCCTCTAACCTCAGTGCGTTTTCACCTCGCTTCACAAAAGCACATGAGGCAGCTTGAGAACATCGTATCCTTTCTTCTAGACAGAAGGGAAATGGGAAGGGGTCAGGGAACAGGTCAGAGGGTGGAGTGACTGTGGCAGTGTGGTTAGACCTTGAGTCTCCCTTTTCCCACTAAGGAGGTTACACCCTCCAAGATGCTTTTACAAGTCCCTGGAACTAGGGTTCTTTGGGAGGTGTCTCGTAGCACCTCACATCTACATGCACTTCTGACCAGAGAAGACCTGGCTGTTCCTTCCCAGATCTACAGAGCTCAAAAAAGACACCCTAGATTCCTAACAGAAGACCCAAGCAAACAAAATCACCACAGAAGACCTAAGCAAGTCTGATCTCATTTCATCATGGTCTCAAATCCTTTTAAATAAAACCATCATATGCACTTGGTTCTGACACATTCCCAAATATTAGGTGCAAGCATTTCTCTGTGGAGCTGTTTTTCTCTCTATTGAACAATTAATCACAGGCTCAGCAATTTCAGTGACCATATCTGGGGACAAGGATCAGTGACACATGTGTAAGGTTACCATTCAGGGCTGCCTCACACATGTAAACATACCGCATACACCAGCACCTCACAAAAACCAGGCCAATGAAAAACACTTTTTTCTAGAACACTAAAAAAGAGGTAAAGATAGGTGATGTCTCTGTGATTTCTAAAACTCACAAGGGAGCCCAGTTTCTATACACAGATCATGGGGTACATTACTGCAGGATATGCATGGGAGGCAAAAAGTGGTATTTTAAATAGTAAAATTCCAAGGTTCCCAGTAGAACACTAAGTTTAATTACTAACAAAGTCTTTTTGGATAGGCACCCCGTTTCTCATTGCAATAGCAGATCTTAATGTGGGCACTACACAGACTTCCACAGCACAGTTTATAGGATTGTAATCCAGTTGTTCCTATGGAGCCTACTCCCCTCCAGGGAACAAGTGACACCTTGAGATGCAATGCTACAGAGCAAGAGGACTATCATGGGAAGAAAGAGCAGGGGGCCATCCCGGGCCTTGCCCCCACTGCCTGGCTGCATCCCATGGGCAGATTTGGAGCTGGCCCAGATTCCTGCTTCCTTCTGGCTAGTGGCTGCAAACCATGTCCCCAGGAAGCTTTACACATCCCACAAGAAAGGCATCAGGAAAAAATGGTCCTGACCCATAGGATGAGTTGAGTCTAAAAGTTAACTTGCACATTTAGAAAACACGCTTTGAAACCAGTAGAACTTTCTGGCCAAACCTAAATTTACCTGAAAAATTTCATTAAACAAGAATTGCAGCAAACTGAGGTTTTTATTGTACTTATCTGCTAAGACCTAAAAGACTAGGAAAGTAACTCTAATCCTGAATAAACTCAGTAATGTCTGGGCTCCAAAAGACCATGCACACAACTGACTCTGCCTGCAAACAGGCTTACAATGGCAAGGCAGGAGTAATTTCCAGTCTCAGGAAACCCCAGATCCAACCCACATGACACACGGGTGGAAGCAAGAAATCTCAAACTATCCAGCAAGATGAAGACAAGGACAACATGGGCACTTAGCTCAAACTCCAAAACCTGCCTCCTCTGTAGGTCCAGCAGGGGCCATTTAACACTAAGACAGCAAGCTCTTAATGATGTCTTCCTGGTTTCCTCCTCCAAATTATCTTCCACTACTCCTAGGCCATCACTCCATACAAAGAGGCCCCAACTCCATCTCATGTTTCACGATCTGGAAAACCCATCATCCCTTGCCTGGATTCTCAATTCACTCCTTTCCCAGATCTCTAGTGTAGGCCTTCTATGTGCCACGCTGCTGAGCTGGGAATTCAACAGTGAACACATAAGTACCAAACCCAATATATACTCTTCTGGATATAAAGTGGGAACTGGCTAAAATCTTATTGAATAATGCCTTAAAAAACAATAAGCTACTATTAATGAATGGCACAAAATCTAGGGGGCAAAAAGACACCTGGCAAAAAACTGGTATCTCGGCTGACGGAATGACTCAAGTGGTAGAGCACCTGCCGAGCAAGCATGAAGCCCTGAGTTCAAATCCTGATACCACCATCACCAAAAAAAAAAAAAGAAACTAGTATCTCTTTGAGTTACCACTGGGACTCTAAGGCAGCCACAATTTCAAATTGGTGTAAGAAAAAACTAGCTCCCTAATCAGGCTGTAAGACAGAAGTCATTTAGAGAATGACCCAAGGTCTTTCTAAGTTCGAGTTTCAAATGCACTTTTACCTTCTTCTCTGACTTATCCTGCTCTCTGCTCTTCTCCCTGTCAGGGCCCCTGAAGTGCTCTCCATTTTTGGCTTTCCGTCGTTCCCGGTCTTTTCCTTTGTCACGCTCGCGGTCCCTGTCTCTCAGTCTCTCTTTTTCTTTCCCTTTGTCTCTCTCCTTTTCCCGTTCTGCATCTCGGTCTTTGTTGCCTCTGTCTTTGTCCCTTTCTCTCTCTTTCTCCTGCTTGACCCTGTTTCTGTTTTTCTCTCTCTCTCCTTCTCTGTACTTGTCCCTGTCAGGATCTTTACGTTGGTCTCGATCATTCTCCTTTGTCTTCTCCTTGTCCCTTTCCTTTTCTCGTGGTTTGCTTTCTTCTTTCAATTCTTCCTTCTGTTTTCGCTCTCTGCTTGTACTTCTCTCCTTTATTTCAGAGCTTCTTCTATCCTAAAAACAACATATATATATATGTATATAGTTTAAGAATGTTCCTATCTGAATTACAAAGTCTATTTTATTTTCAAAAATATACAATTGCAATTCACCTCTTTATGAGCTCTGGACTCTTCTTCCTTCACATCCTTATTGTCTGATTCCTGAGATTTCGAGGTCCGTGAGGTCTTTCCTCTCACATCCCCCTTCTCTCCAGCTAAAACTCTCTTCACTGCATCATCACTGGAGAGCTTATTGTCCAAATGTCAGGAAATGAAATACAAAGGGAAAATAAGATGAGCACATGTAACAAGTATGAATGGAGCATTCAAGGATACTTCATTCAACAGATTTTCTGATTACCAGTGAAATTTGAATAAAATATTAAAAGTACAGTTATCACAAAGCTCTGCATTTGATAGTCATTATTAATAATTAGCCACAAACAGTAGTATCCATCCAAGCTAATGAACCCTAGTTCAATTCTACCCAAACTGTCAAGTGTGGATGTGTGTGATTCAAGGACAGAAAGATGACCCAGAGAGCTCTACAAATACCTTCTATTTCTAATGGAATCACAGAATCCCAGCTGAAAGGGCTTATGATTGCAAATCCATTAGGACAACTGTTACAAAAAGAAAACAGGAAGTACTGGAGAGGAAAAAGTGGAACCCTTATGAACTAGTGGAGGAAATGTAAAATGGTACAGTTGCTATAGAAAATAGTATGATGGTTCCTCAAAAAATTAGACACAGAATTATCATACAACACAGCAAATTTTCCCTTCTGAGTTTATACCCAAAAGAATTGAAAACTGGTGTTGGTATCTATGATAGCTAGACTGTGGAAGCAACCCAAGTGTCCTCTGTCTGATGAGTGGATAAGCAAAATGTGGTCAACCCACACAAGGCAATAGTATCAACCCCAAAAGAGAGAAAATTCTAACCCAGGCTAAAACATGGTTGACCTTCAGGACATTAGGCTAGTAGAATAAGCCAGTCATAAAAGGCTTATTACCAATTATATGAAGTACTTAGGGTAGTCAAAGTCATAGTGAAAGAAAGGGAACGGTGGTTAGCAGGGCCTGGGTGGGGAGAGGGCATTACTGTCCAGTGGGCACAGAATCTCGGCTCTGTAAGATGAAAAGAACTCTGGCAATGGTGGTACACAACATTAAGAGCACACTTAATACCACTAAGCTATGCTCCTTAACCTCTTCAAGATGGTTATGTTATGTGCATTTTAGACCAATAAAAAAACAAGGGGGGGAGGTATGAACCAATTCAAGACTCATCAAATGCAAAAAGTCTTTTCTCCAGCATGGCTGACAGCCACGCAAGGTGCTGAACACCTCCAGTCAGGAATCCTGTTCACTCGTACACCTGCTCCACACATGTGCACTGAGTGATTATTACATGCCAGCTCCAGAATGCAGGACAAACTGCTACTGAAAGAAACAAAGTGAATATCCACATGCTCAGCAAACCAAATAGGGCACCGAAGTTAGCATGGGAGGGAGGAAGGTTCAGGACTCCTCACAGATCCCACACTGCTGACAGGTAAAGCTGAAGTCAAGAGGCAGCCCAGGCCCTGGGAAATTAGAGGGCACTGACCAAAGGTGCAAAGCAAAAGAGAGAGCCTGTTGCAGACGTCAGGAGGGTGCAGTGGCTGGAGTGGAGCAGCAAGGTGTGTGAGACAAGGAAAGAACCTGAAGGAAAAAGAAGTGGCAACAGGTTTCTAGGGGTTATGAAGCCAAGTTGTGAAGCTGGCTGTGCTTGGAGGTAACCATAAGCCAGCAAAAGATGCACCAGGGAAGATGAGAGTCAGACCTGCCTCTTACAAAGAGGAGTGACAAAAAGGGTGAGGGAGTGGGAGGCTGTGACAGGAGTCACCACACTGTTAAAATCTAAGCCTGGACAAGGCCTCCTGGAGATGACCAGACACTACGCACCCCATATTCCACTACTGCTGCGCGGGTCAATCTCACCTGCTCCCATTAGATGACACCTAAGGCCCCAACTGGCCACCCATAAGGACTGCATTCATTATACTCTTGATGAAGGACCCATTCTATACCCCCAGAGGGCTGCTTGACTTGCACAAAGAAGGAAGGCCCTGACCTCCTCCAACATCCAGGCAAACGAGGCCCAGGCTGGGACTAACCAGAGAGGCTGACATCCGGCACCCAAGTTTACAGCCCACAGTGGGAAGCACAAGAAGGAACAAATCCACTCCTTAAGAATCTGGAACAGGGTTCTCTTGAAGGTGACATGGGTCTTCAAAGAGCAATAAAGGAGGGAGGGAGGGAGGCTCCAGAGGCTAGGAAGGCAAGAAGAGAGCAGGGAGTCCCACAGTAAGAAGAAGGGCTCCTCCTCCCCCTCAGCAGGAACAGCCCTGACTTCAAAGGAGGCCCGGAATGAGAAGGCAGCATGCAGTTTCCAGCCACTGGGCTGAGGGCAGAGTGTGTGTGAAGCCCCATGTTCCCATGTGCACAGCGTGCCCTTGGTGTTTCATCGCACAGTAGTAAGTATATGATGAAATCCCTGGACCTTGGAGGCTCCAAAATAGGTGGCTCAGATGCAAAGTGCGGCTGTCAACAGACATCAGCAAAACTCCTCCTTAAACCTGCCAAGACACCTAAATCTGTCCTGTGCCACCCCCAACATCCCCCATCCACTCTGGGCCAGGCCATGCAGTGCTTCAGCCTTACCTTGTTGAGACAGCACTTTCCAATTGTCTGAAGCAGCTCGTTTGTTCTCTCAGGCTCATGTCCAGCCACTATTCGGGCTGGTTTCACTGACAAGGGCTCTCCTGACACCAGCACAACCACGTCTATGGCCTTCTGTAGGAAGCTAATTTTTGCATCTTTATCCTGAAATGTTTCCATTTAAAATACAAACATTAATACTCTGGGCTCTCATCAGATCATGTAAAATACAAATGTTAAAATACCTCAAAGAGTTTGCATTATCCTTCAGTATGTTCAATAGGCATGGGACCATTCCTCCTTACATAAGCTATTTTTAGATGTATGACAAACTTATAAATAATGCCCTTTTGTAGCACAACAAAAACAATTTATTAAAGCTTTTAATGAAGTTGATGGGCTAGAATTAACCTTTGAAATACTAATTCTGTTTTTGATGGTTTGTTTTTTGAGACAAGGGCTAGCTATGTAGCCCAGGCTGGCTTCAAACTCAAGATCCTCCTGCCTTGGCCTCCTGAGTGCTGGGATTACAGGTGTACACCACCATACCCCGATACTAATTCTGTTTTTCAGTAGATAAATTTAGTATGGCTTGCAGTTGCCACAAATGAGAAAATCAAATGAGAAAGGGTATACATCAACTCATGAAGTAATTGGCCTTGTATTCCAACTGTCTATCAGCATATAAATGATACAAATGACAGTACATAGCCTATAAAACAATCCCCATTTGTTAAGCTAAGGGGTTTAGAGAGAAGGGGCCTGCATCCAAACATACCTTGACATTATCTGACTTCATCTCAGCATCTGTGTAGAGGCCCTTCATGAAGCCAGTTATCCTAATCACCTACAAAAGAGAGAACCAATCTCACACACTTCTGGTAAGACAGCCACTGTGTCTGCCTCATCCACTGAACCTCATGCTCAAGATAGTCAGAATCCAGCCAACCCAGTACTCTAACCATCCACTTCCTCAACATGCTTGATATCTACCAAGTGTAGGGTGCAATGGCAGGCAGACACTAGCCCCAGCTTCAGAAAATAGCCAGGCAATGGGGACAGACAGAAAAAAACTGCAGACCCCAAGCAGGTGGTAGGGAAGGAGAGGAGGAGCCGAAGGTTGCCAGGGAAGGCTTCCCAGAAGAAATCAGACCTAAACTGGGACAAAATGCTAACAAAAGAGCTGGGGGAAGGGGCATTTGGGAAGCACATACTCAACAAGAGAAATCAACCACATAAGATACAGGCCAAGAGGGTCCTGTTTCAAGGGATCCAAAGAAGTGTGGGGCAGCAGGAGCCTGAGCCCACAATCATACAGGGCCTGACTGGAGGTCCACTGCAGTCACTCAGAATCACAAACCTAGCCCAAGGACCCCAAGGAGGCCAGAAGAGTTGAATGCAGCAAAGGACCTGGCCACATGGCATTTTACCAGCATCACTCAAATAACATGGAGGGAATGTATTCCAGAAAGAAAAGGAACTGCTTAGCCTGGGTATCCAAAACTGAAAGTTGCAGAAGGGTCTTCTTACTTTTTAGGAAGTGAGGTGTCTTGCATCCTATCACTTTGTTCTCTCCCTATTTGCCCCTCCCTCAGGTAACCTGTACCCCTAGCTACCCCTAAAGCTAGCTTATAAGGCAGTGGTTTTCTCTGTTCCTCCCTACTCCTACCCCCAGTCAGGGTCCTAGGTTCTCTAAAACCAGAGGTTTTCAAAATGTGGTAGGTTAAGCTGGGCCCATGGTGGCACACACCTGCAATCCTAGCACTCGGGAGGCTGAGGTAAGACTATTGCAAGTTCAAGGACAACCTAGGCTACATAGTGAGATCCTGTCTCAAAAAAAAAGTGGTAGATTATACTGTAAAATCAGTATGAGTAGAGAAGCATTTTCCAAAAAATAAAAGAGAACAGAAAATACCAGTACACAGTGTATGGTGGAACATGTATACCTGTCAGTGTCCTAGGTCCACTATGAAGCATGTTACTGAAAGGCAGGCTTTAAAGACAAGATAGTTATACTAATGTCAGCCTTCTTCTCTGCAATCCAGCTACAACCACACCAAGTTAGTTATAATGAATCTAGAAGATTTTACTCCACACCAAACTACTTAAAAGCCATGCCACTGGGCTGTTTTGCTTTGCTTTGCTTTGCTTTACTTTGCTTTGCTTTGCTTTGCTTTGCTTTGCTGTGTTGAGAAGCCCAGTGGAATGTGGACTGTGAGAGCATCTGGCATTTAACATTCCTGGAATTTGCTCACTTTGTCTCTACTGAGGTTTCCTCAGGATGCTGACAGTTTAAATTGTGCACAGTAATCATGACCACACATTAATGTCACAGAATGGACGTGGACCTTAATGAAAGAAGCAGTTAGTTAGCTATAACTAAAACACTAAGACAGTGACTTAAATGTAATATTCTGGAACAGTAGAGAACCTTCCCAGGAGGCTCTCTATCATGCCTTCCAATATGTCACCCACTCTGACACCTTCATCACGGAGGTGACAATTAGGGTATTTATCTTTACACTAGAAGAGAAACTGATTTCAGCATTAGATTAGGAAAAGTCTGGAAGAAAAGCAGACCCACTCCTAACTAAGAGGCACGTACCTCATTCCATATCTGTCTACCTGGCCAACAAAGGCAATTCCTGCTTCAGTGTTCCTCCTCCCTCACACAAAGATGCCCTCCAGCCAGCACCAACATACATGACCACTGAGCACCCACAAGGTGAGGCACACTCTCTGCACTGCATGGGGCCAACAGGACTAACACAGCTTCAGCTGTGATGGACCGGGCTCACTTTCAGGCTAGTTCTTCCTTGCTCCCTCTGGGTCAGAGAATGGCACCTGCCTGCTTCACAAGGTGGTGCTGATCCAGTGCCCGGCTCCCACCAGGCTCTCCACACAGCCAGGTCTCCTCCCCAAACACTAATCAGAACAGGCTGTAAGTGCTTCACAGGATGGAAGGGCAGATCACCAGTCAAGACAGCTCCTTGGAATGTGGTGGATTCCAGAGCATTTCTAAGCATGAGCAGGGTTTTTAACAGAGGCAGGCATTCTACGATAGCACACATTACAAGCTAAGGTAGGATGGCCAAGACAATAAAGCAAAGTTTGTGGGAAATAAGGCACACAACCTGTTCAAAAGAGTGAGAAGTAGTTTGAGGACCAACAATGAATGAGTGAGATTGTGAGCTCTGGAGCCTACAGCTCAACCTGATTCCTAGCGCCACCTCAGTGCACCAGGCAAACAGCGCTGCCACTCCCCATGGCAACACTCCTCAGCTACCAGAGCTTTGGCAGATTCCATTCAACAGTGAATGTTTGTTGAGCACTTTCTGTGTACCTTACCCAGTGCAGCTCACCTCACTGAAGACATACCAACAAATAAGTTTCGGTCTCTGTCACTGAGTAATTCACCATCCTCAAGTGGGAGGGTCACACAGACAACCAATAGCAAGTGAAGGCAGGCTGTGCCATTTATCAACAAATCCCAAACTGCATTTTACAGTCCTCCTTTCAGAAACACTACCTCCATTCACCTGCATGGATTTATGAAGCACCCAAAGTGTGGTGGCCGCTGCATCAAGCAGTGTGCAGAGAAATTTGCAAGGAGGGGGAGTCTGAAAAAGAATAACTCTCAGGGGGGGAGAGGGAGGGGGCGGAGGGGGTGGGGGCAGGGGGGTGAAATGACCCAAGCCTTGTATGCACATATGAATAATAAAAGAAAAATAAATAAATAAATAAAAGATTTACTTTTCATCCAAAAAAAAAAGAATAACTCTCAGGACTTGTGGAGTGCCTTTCCAATGTTACATGCCGGGTAACAGGGTTGGAGGAGGAGAGGGGATCCACAATGAGCACTGCCAGAAAGAAGAGAGAAAGGGCTCTAAAGACACAGAAGCTAGGTGAGGAAGAATGCTTCTTGAGGGGCGTGGGCATAGAGGCGGCCCAGGAGACAGGTGAAGGTAGGGCACTCTACAAGCAGCACGATGGAATTGGCCCTACTGCTTGCCCCCAGGCTGCAGGCTATGCGCCTGAGGCTGGGGGCCTGCACTGGGACCCCCAGACTGATCCTTACCCAGGCCCCAGATCCTTGCCCTGACCCCTGCTCGGACCTTGACTCCAGTCCCCAGCCCAGATCCTGACCACCCTCGCCTACGCCTTGACCCCAGATCCGCACCCTTACACCAACCGGGGCCACGACCCCTGACCCCCACCAATCCCCGGGCCCCACTCGCACCCTGACCCCCACCTTGGCCTGATCTCCGTCACCAGTCCAGTCCCCCGAGCCCCACATCCGCACCCTGACACGGGCCAAGGCCACGACCCCCGCCCCCCGCCCATCCCTGGGCCCCATAACCGCACCCTGACCCCCGCGCCGTGCCTCTACCCCCAACCCCAGTCTAGACCCAAGCTCAGACCCACGTCCCGACCCCAACCCGGCCTAGAACCCCAACTCCAACCCAGCATCGACCACAGACCCGCGCCCTGACCCCAGCCCACCTCAGTGATAATGTCGTGCAGGTAGCGGAACGGCGGCTTGTTCAGCAGCTTCTCCGTCAGCGGCGGCTTCCGAATCACCTTGCCCAGCGCCTCCTGCGTCCGCCGCACCACCGCCGAGTTCATGGCGGCGCCCGCCTCGCGGCTAGGTGCCCGCCTGCCCTGCCGCGCCTCTGCCCCAGCCCCCGGCCACACCACCCGCCGCCGCCGCCCGCCGCCCGCCGCCTCGGCGCGCCCGGGCTGCCATCCCACAATGCACCGCAGCCGCCCACGGCGCCTGCGCGCGCCGCCCCGCGCCCGGTCGCTAAGGCAGCACGGCCTTAGCAACGGGCGCGCGCGCCATCCCGCCTCGCCCTCGGCCCCGTCCCCGCCGGCCTGCCAGTCCGCTGGTCCAGTGGTGCCGCGTTGGGTACGCGCTCGGCGGCTCACGGGTGGCCGCCGGAGGCCTGGTGGACTCAACACGACCTCCAAGGTCACTGCTACATGTTTCACAAATTTCGAGGGCTTTGGGAGGCGCTTCACTAAGTTATCCCAAAGACACGAAATAAAAATGCCGTATCCTGGCCCGGCGCAGTTTTCATCCTAGAGCAGAGGAAAAAGTAACCCCTAAGCACGCCGGGTGCGGTGTTCTCATCTGTAGTCTCAGCTGCTGGAGAGGCTAAGGCAGGTGAATGACTTGAGTCCACGGGTTCCAGACCAGCCTGGGCAACATAGGAGACCTCATTTCAAATTCAAAAAGAGAAAAGAAAGTGACCTGTCCTGTCTGGTACTTAATATGGCTTCTGGGGCAAGTAACTTGTTATATTGGAGACTCCATTCCTGCTCCTATAAAGCAGGGATAACATAGTGCCAGCCTGCCTTGCCTACCTCCTAGGAAGGTGAGGGCTAAATGGTGTCTTTGTCCTGGTGACCAAACTCTGCCCCTGTTCCACCTACCTTCCGTCCATCATGTACAGGATAGCTGCAGAACCCTTTCGGCAGCATGGGGACTTTGAGGTCTGATTACAGCTCTTCTAATGAATACCATTATAACTTTAATTTGCATCCTTTTTTTTTTTTTTTTTTGCTATTTTCAACACTTCACTCTGTGGATCTAAATTTCCATCTGGTATCATACTCCTCCTATCTAAAGGACACTCTACAGTATTTCTTTTTGCACAGTTCAGCTGGCTCTGACCTGTTGTTTGTCTGAAAGTCTTTATTAATAAACGTCCACATTTGAAAGAATTCACCATCCCAAGTGGGGAAATTTATACAAACAACCCACTTCCACTTAAGACAGGCTGGGTGGTTGATCAGCAAATGTGAAACTGCACTCCTACAGTTTCTTTTTGGGTCCCCCTATGACCACTTCCAATAAATTCACCCCAAGTATTTCTTAAACTTAGAAATAAAGAATTCTGAGTTATCTTATTTTTCTCAGGACTTTAAGGCTGTACCTTTGTAACTTCTAGCTTGCATAGTTTCTGAAGAGAAGTCTTCTGTAATCCCAGTATTTGTCCTATTATGTTACTGCTTGCCTTCAAGATTTTATTTTTATTATTGGTTTTTCAGAAATTTGCCCATGATCTATACAGACGTGGAGTTGAGGGAGGATGGGTTTTTGTTTTTGTTTTGTTTCTTGTTGTTTTGTTGTTTTGTGGGGATTTTTTGCTTGTTTGTTTTTTAACCTAAAATTCATATTTAAGTATGATTTACATACAATAAAACACATCGTAAGTGTGCAAGTTGATACATTGCGTTAATTATGCATAATTATCTTATCAATCAAGCTAGAGAACAGTTCCTGCACCTTCCCTATCCAACTCTAGCCAAACACTGAGCTGGTTTCTGTTATTACAGTTTTGCCTTTTCTAAGTTTTATACGAATGGAAACAGAGTCTTTTGTATTTTATTCTTTCTCTTATACTGTTTTCAAGGTTCATCCATACCATTACATATGTTAAGATATATTAATATGCCATGTTTTTGTGGTTGAGTAGCATTTCATAGTCCGATTTGTTTATCAGTTCACCACATTGGTCATGTGGGTTGTTTTCTGTTTTTGAAATTATGAGCAATCCTGCTATGACCATTCACATGCACATCTTTATGTGAAGAGAGGTTTTCATGTCTTTTGGATTGGAATTTCTGGGCTGCATGGTAGGACTATATTTAACTTTACGAGGTACCGGTACTGTTTTCAAAGTGGCTACACCAGTATCATCCCTACCAGCAATGTATGGAATCTCCAGTTGTTCCCTCTGCCAACATCAAGCTTGTTAGACTTTTTTTTTTTTTTCTGGTGGTACTGGGGTTTGAACTCAGGGCCTTGCACTTGCTAAACTAGTCCTCTGTCTTACGAGCCACGCCCCCATCTCATCCGACTTTTCAACCTTAGTCATTCTAACAGCACACAATAGTATCTTGCTATAGTTTTAATTGGCACTGCTCTAGAGGTTGAGCATCATTTCCTATATTTATTGGATATTCATGTATCTTTTTTAAGTGTTAAAGGGCCTGGCCACTTACTAGGCAGGCTCTCTACTACTTGAGCCACACACCCAGACATTTTTTGCTTTTGGTTATTTTTTGGATATGGTCTCATACTGTGATCCTCCTACCTATGCCTCCCAAACAGCTGGGATACAGGCACGCGCACCATGACCAGCTATCCATCTGTCTTTAGGGAAGATAGGCCATAAGGCATCATTGTAGCATTTACTGAGTTAATACTATGTACAAAATACTATCTAGGTGCTGGGGTTTCATGGAGGGTCATGCAGCTTCTAGAAAGTACATCTATGCTGTTTTCTGCTCCTGGGAACATCACTCTCCATGCCGCAACCAGGACCATGTGAGCTTTGATCACCTAGAAAGAGGCCAAGTATCTCTGGCAGTGTCAAGTTCTAGCAATGCTGACCTCACTTCCTTCCACACTTCACCCTGCAGGTGCTGTGAGAGGTTGGGAGGAGCCAAAGACAATGTCAACCCATGAGGGAAGGAATTTAACACTCAGTGTAGGAAATCAACCTAGCTGGCCTCCTTATAACCTGGTCCCCTATCCTCCAGGTCTACCCCATTGGACAGAGATCTCCAGCTTCTATTCCTTGCCTTGTCAAATCTTCATTGCATTCTGGAAACCACTGCCCACCACAGGATCCTTAGTGTTTTCCCACCACCTTCCTTCTCTCCACACTACATTTCCCAGAGTCTGGGGTCTCCACTCCAGAATCTCAGCCCAAGACTCTCTGCAGGACCATTCACTGTGACACTCGGCACTTCAGTCCTTGGGTCAGTCTAGGGTAATTATGAACACTGTGAACCAGGCTCCTTGGGGCCCCTGGGTTCTCATAATCCTCCTGACAGTTCACACATGTGTCCTTTCGCACACACACCCTGCTTCCCTGGAACACATGTTAATTCTCAAACAGTTCGTGGAACTCTACAAAGGAGAATAAAATAGTTTCCCAACTGACCCACCATTTTCAAACATTCCCCACTATGTTAGTCAGCTTTCTGTTGAGTCGACAAAATACCTGAGAAAGAAAGAAAGAGTTATTTTGGTTTGGTTATAATGGTTTCAGAGGTTTCAGGTCATGGTAACTTGACTCCATTGTTTCTGACCATGGCAAGGCAGAACAGCATGGCAGGCAGCTTGGGATGGAGCTGAGCTGCTCACATCATGACAGCTGGGAAGCAGAGAGGCAGAAGAGAGAGCCAGAGAAAAAATATATCCTTCAAAACAGCACTGGCCCAGTGACCTACTTCATCCAATGAGGCCCCACCTTCTGAAGTCTCCACCACCTCCGTATAGCAGCACCAGTTAGGAATCAAGCCTTCAACACATCAGTTTTGAGAGATAGTTAAGATCCAAACCATAACACCGACCCACATTAACACAGAGAACAGTCTTGGCTCCCATCATTCCTCCTCCTTCCTTCTCTGTCCAGCACCCCAGACTCCTCAAGTCAACTTGAAAAGGTTTTAAAATGGAGGTGTATGGCAAGCCTATACTTCTACACCGCTGAGCCCTTAGTCCACCAAAGTTGGCCCACAGCTCTGAAATGACTAAGCCACTAGAATAGGTTGTACCAGCCTCCAACCCCTCCAAGCGTCAGAGAGAGGACTGTCATTTGCACAGGTTGGACAGGTGGAGGCCTGCAGGGATGCTACACCAGGTACAGGGGCTACTGCTGCATCTGAGATGGAGCTTCTTCCTACTAGAGGGAGGCCATCTCGGACACTCAACCACCATGATCTGCTCACCATGGCCGCACTGGGGGCTTCAGAACTCCTGCATGGGCCCCCTCACCTCCGAGCCCTAACTGTAGTCAACCTTGGGGAGGTGGGGGCAGGGTCACAGGTGTATTTCCTGTGAACACCGTCCCTGAGGACAGACACAAGCAGCTTCTGCCCCAGAAAGTTCACACTGGGCAGAATCCTGCTCTGGACACAGTGCTTTGGGAGAGCTGTGGCCAGCAATCAGCTTGTCTGTGAGAGGTTGGCCTGGATGGTGGGGACATAGTTTGTGACCTGGGGAGCCCTCTGGTCCCTAAGGATCTACCAAAGACTCCAAGCCTAGGCCACAAAGTGGGAAGCCAATTCCTGTTTCTCCCATAGCCTGCAGAGATCAGCATGGACTCTGGGCCTGTGAAGGACCTGAGGGCACAGGGTCTGACTGCTCTTTGGGAATAACAGCCATCAGGCGCTCCCAGCCCAGCTGGCTTCAGGGTCTCTGAGATGATCCGAGATAAGGGAGTAAGTCACCCAACCCTTCGGAAGTCTGTCTTGAGGGATATGGCCATAGAGTGAAGTCCCTGGACATCGCAGCCTTGGGAGAGCAGATTTCATTGCCCAGTCATCCAACACGTCTTCTAGAGGCTTCCACACTGCCTCTGGGCTAGTTCACTTCTCCACCCCACAGGGAGGACGGAGGGCATCTGGGCCCTGGGAAGGCAGGTCCCAGAGGATGCAGTCAAGAATTCCTTCCTGATGCCAAGAAAGAGACCTACAGTCAGGGCTACCCCAGAGAGGTGGTACAGAAGCCAGCCTGGAGCCCGCAGTTCTGGGGGCCAGCCAGGTGGGGGTCACTAGCCTACATTAGCATGAAAGCATTAGAGGAAAAAGTAGAAAGCATCAAAAAGAGCCATTCATGAAAAAAGAAAAAGAAACCAGAAGAA